CCCCCGCCTCAGGCCTGGGCTCACTCCTTCCCTCACCCCCCTCCCCAACTCCTCCCAGCCCCCCACCACCACTGCATATTACTGCAATAGGATCCCATGGGCTAAACTTACTTCTTAATGACCTCATGAATTTGGACACACTGCAAGAGACCTATAGAAGAGCAAAAGAAGTTATAAAACATATAAAAGCTACTCATATTGTAGGTACAGTCTTTAAGAAGCAGCAGGAAGAAAAGAATGCAAAGAATAAAAGTGACACACAAACTCTGTATTAAAACTAGATGGGGTGGAGTGGTGACCTCATTTGAAAGTTTACTAAAAAACAAAGCTCTTCAAGAAACAGTAATAACTGAGAATCTTAAAGTACCCAGAAGTGTAAGGAACACTGTACTTGATGAGGATGTCTTCTGGGTTTAGGTGCAGACTCCCTGAAGATTCTAAAACCATTTTTTTCAGCAATCACTGCATCTGAATCAGAAAGTGCACTTTTTTTGGTCAGACATTCTTTACCAAACGGCACAGATAAAAATCAACTATTTTTGAGAACCTAAGTGTATCTCCACTTACAAGTACAGAAGAAAGAAAAGTGAAAGACTTAAAGAGTTGAGAAGAATTTTGTTGCCAATCAATTCATGCTGCTGCAAATCTCTTGGATCCAAGATGCAAAGGTAGAAATGTTAGTGATGATAGCACTGCTACTGCATTTGACTTGATTACAAAACAACCACCACACTTAGGACTTCATGTTGGAAAGATACTTTCAAACGTTGCAGAATATAGAACATCTTTGGGTATTTGATCCAGGAATGCAATCTGGGACTCTGCCAAACATATCCCTCCTGCAACATGGTGGCAAGGTGTTTGCACAAGACAGCGTCCGACTCCTTTTGCTTCTCACCTGCTTCCGATTCCTCCATCTTCTGCAGCATTTGAAAGAAACTGGTCTATGTTTAGAAACAGGTCACACTAAATCAAGAAATAAACTAACATGAAAGAATAGAGAAGCTTGTCTCAATCTGGGCAAAATTTCAGTTTTCAGAAGTTCATGAAGATGATAAAAATAAAGGGTCAGAAGAATCAGGAGAAGCAGAAACTGCTGGTAGTGACAGCTCAGAAAGTGAGACTGATTAGACAAAGTTTCATGTAGCAAAATTTGTATTCAATGAGCCTGGGGGGTGAGGGGTTCCCTTTTTTCTCAGCTCTCTCTAAAAATGAGAGCTTTCTGTATGTGCTTGACACTGTGGAGGAGACTATGTCCAGAATACATAATAACTTTCTTTGTTTTACTACAATGTTGATGGCTTCTTCTATTTTCAACTTTAATTTTTGCCTGCTTCTCATAAACTGGCAAAAACTACAAGATGCTAGGTTCCTTAGAGTTCAGAAGCTTGTATCTCCATTTGTAACAGTAATTAAAAGTATTTTAAAGTAAATTAAATTAGTAAATTTGTAATTGTCTGAATAAACTATACTTTTAAATTCAATATATACCAAACATGATAATTTTATGAGCAAACCATGTTATCCATAATACATTTTATGTTCTTAAAGTAGCAAAGTGAACTTAGATCTGTGAAGTGTGCTACAAAAATAAGTATTGCATATATTTCAATTTTTCCCAAAATTTCTGTGTTTTTCCCAAAAAATCTGGGGGGGGGGGAAAAAAAAAAAGGTTTTTCTATGGCTTCAAAATTTCCAGAAATTTTACATTTCTGTGCAGTACACTATCCCTCAGACCAAGGGGTTGAGGATGTGGGATGAATGGAGCCCCCAGGTTGGTTGGGGACATCAGGGATCCAGCCAGGTAGCAGGCACAGTAAGGAAGTGGGGACTGCCAACACCACTCCTGCTGTCCCTGGATGACTTTGGGGAGGTGGGGGGTGGGAGAAGGCAAGAGCCACTCCCATCCCACTCTACCCATGAGCCATAGGGAGCAGCTATGTAGGAAGTCCAGCTCAGCTGGGTGGTAGCACACAGGTTCCCCCTTCCAGCACCTGTGCCCTGTAGGTGTTTTCCACAAGCTAGGAGCAAGCACTGGAAGGAGGACACTGCTGCAGCCCAGAACTGAAGCAAGGCATGAGTGGCTCTGGACCTCCCCCTGCACCTGGATCAACCAGAAACAGCAGTGGTGAAAGGTGGATGCATCCATACTGCTGCATTTCCCCCTCCCCACCACACCCCAGATTTTCCTTTAATCATCATCAGGAACAAAAGCCAGTCAAAGCAGACCCCTTCTTATGTAACGCTCAGTGGATATCATATAACCACATGATCAGAAAGGACTTTGAGGGTCATCTAGTCCCCCATAATGACATGTCATGATGTTAACGAGTTGGGTTTGTTTAAATACAAGCAACAAAGAAAAGATGCTGACTTGAGAGCCCTGGAGATTAATGTCTCTTCTGGGTGCACATAATAGATACAGAAGTAGCAACAAGACAAGCTTACTTTATACTGTGCAACTTGGAATTCAATCCTGACTTAAGAGAAAAGCTCATTGAGGTTGAGAAGAAAATTTGAATTCCAAAGCCCCATTTGCTGGTTTTGGCCTCTGAAGGCTGCTGTCACAAGAGCCAGTTTTGGATTGTGGATACCTGTCCATTAGAATAGGAGAGAAACCCAAGACACTTAACATAATCCACAGAGCCATCAGCAGTAATACCTTTTAACTGCTACAGACCTAAAATGAAATCATAACCCATCACTAAGATGAGAAGGGCTCCCTGATCTATTACACTTTCCCTTATTTGCTCTATATTCAAACATCTCTCATTTGTAAAATCAATACAAAACATGTGTCACCCTTGAAATGTACATTTTTTAAAGTCCTTATGAGCAAACACAACCTACTAAGCTTTATGGGTAGCATAACAAAAGCATACCTGGAGTCCAAGTCTGAGGCCAGAAAACATGAAGATTAGTTTAACACAAACATTCAAAGTCAGTCACTGTCCCAGGCTGAGCAGACTGGTAAAATAATGCTCTACCATCTAAGCAGATGTTAATGCTTAAAAATATATGAGATTTTACCAATACACTAAAAGAAGACTGATGAATAGTTGAGGGGTTAGATCCAGCACAAGATTTTCCTCCCACGGTTTTGAGACTCAAGTGTACTGCCACTTGAAACTCTTGCCTGTACTAACCCCTTTCTGTTTCTCCTTCAGAGCTTTAACTATAACCAAAACTCTATGCTACGTCAAGAGTCTACTGATGGAGAGCTGCTGCAACTTGATTTTAAATGGGGTATTTGTACATTTGTACATATGTACTATTAAAGGTTGTAAGGACAAGATGCTCTAGATTTAGATTCATTCCCATTCTCAACAGCTGCAAAAAAAGGTTAAACTTCAATTTTTCCACTGCAAGATAAGGAAAAAAAATTTAAAAGAATTAGAGATCTCTTCTACTGGGAGATACTGATCCATCCTTCCAGCTGTGCCTTAGTTAGCCTTTTATGCATACGTAGGCAAGTGCTTCTCCTTCCGTTTCTAGCAAAGGAACACTCTGCACCCTCCCTTCCCCCGCCACAGTTGATTACTATTTACTCACAGGTTCCCCATGCTTCCCCTCCCCAGAGACAAGACAGAATTCCCAAACCTGAAGGAAAAAAGGGTACTACTCATTAAAGGGAAAATATCCTCAGTCCTAAAGAATGGAAGGAATAAAATTCCAACCAAAACAGAGGGAAAAAACCTCCTTGGAAGGCTGCCCTACAACAGACATGGTGTAGTCAGTGTAAATGGGGTACTGGCAATAAGACACCTATGAGCACCGTTTGCTAGTAAGCTGTGCTGTTATTTTGAATTTGTTTCTCTGTTAAATTGTTATCCTAAAATGCAACAGGTTCCAAGTTACCTGGATAGTCGTTTCAGTATCCTCCTGATCAGAATTATGCCTTTCCACAGGACTGTTTAATGCAGGTCTAATGCTATCTGCACGCTGAAAGGTAAGCACCACAGATTTAGTATGCTATGTGAAAACCGCAAATACACACAAACTAAATTATACAAATATGTTCAAGCTGTGCCTTTCACTCCCATCCATATTATACTCCACTTAAAACAGTTGTGGTAGCAATGAGAAGGCATGCACCTGCAACCAAGACACAGAAAGAATGTACGTGCTCCCCCCCACCTCACAGAATGGAAGGTACATAATTAGGTACAGTGCACCCTGTTTAATTCATAGGCCTCAGATAGAAAAGGCTATGTCCTGACCCTGAGAAAGCACCTAGCCAAAGGACATAAACAATCTAACTTTAGAAACAGCTTGTGCTAAACTTTTGCGTGTCATTAAGGTTTGTTACCTTATTTCTAATACCACCTTATATCCCTACAACAGGGATGTCAAACTCAGCCAGCCCCCAGCACTTAACTGACATGCAGATAACTGATGTTTGTTACAATACAAGCAACAGCGAAAAAAATTTGCACTGACAATGTCTTGTGCTGTTAGGTAAATTATGTACTTCCTTTCCTTTTTCAGGTCCTTGTAACAAGGTATTTAGCAGAATTCACAGATTCATTGGAATCTTATAGGCCACGCTGCAAGTGCTTCTGCTATGGCCTCAAACTTGCAACCTCTGAGCTATAAACTCCGTGCCTCAGCAACCACACCACCCCAGCCTCCCTTATGTACTTATTCAACGTACATATAAACAGAATACAGCATAACTCAACACTGATATACAAAACAGCATTCACAGACAAGACTCTCAGACAGTTTTTTTTTATTGCAATCCACTATCTTGAATAAGAACTGGTTATTATTTTGTTGACTACTTAATTTGCAGTAAACTCTCCAAATAATACAACCTGATCAACACAGATAGAAATCAGCTGGAAATGCCATAGCAATATAATAATGCAACTGGAGAGGTGTCTAAAACTTCTGAGTAAATCATTTAATTTTAGCTCAGATATTAAAATCTTTTCTGTATAAAAACAGACTATTCCTTCAAAAGACACATACATTCTAGGAACTGGGTTGATGTATTTTATCTCATTCTGTGCATACAAAGTTTAATCATTCACAGACCATGCGTCTTTAAAATGTCTTGTTTCTACTCCACAGTAAGACATTCAAACAAAATCAGATGTTGCAATACTAACAGCTACATTATGCTAAGGAAGCTTGATTTACAGTTGCTTTAGAAGATGCCAATTTTTATGGAGATGCAATCTGAATCATAATGCTACGTTGACCAAACCCTATACTAGTGCAAAAGCAAGGAAAAACTGAACATTCAACACATTTAATTTCCCCAATTCATTCATATATTCTCTCATCTGTGCCTGAGAGCTGAACTGAATCCAAGCCATTGATTTTAAAAAAACAACCACTGTTCAAAACATTATCTCATGCCTGACCTGTGTAGGAAAGGACACCTGGATACGCCCTTCTAAGATGTTGTCAGTTGTTATTTCTACAGAGCGGGTCAGCTGCAGATCCTGCAGAACTAGATGGTACGGAACCTGAGGAAACATCTCTTGAATCTGATGGGCCTGTAAAAAGCAAAGTTTTATAATGTTAAAATTTGGAACACCACAAATGATCCAGCAAGTGCCTCAAAAATTCCATAATGAAAAGGGTCCCAGAAGCCCAGATTTTTCCAACCTGTGTTTATATAGACCACAATTCCATTTCCAATGACACTGTAATTACAGTAACTGCACGACTGATTTAGAAATACAAGTTTTTGTCTCTGTCTTTTGGGACAAAAGCCACAACAGTTGCATTGTTTAATGGCATTCTTGAAGGGGACTGAAGCTTCCATGTCCCCAGAAACTACAGACAAGTAACTGTAGTTTTGCCACTTCGGCAAATGCACTAGGAAATGTTACAGGACAGACTGGTAGTAATTCTCACATCCAGATGCAAAAAGAAGAAACTAAGCTCACAATTACATTATTAATTCCACTAAAGTCAAGGGCAAAATTTTGACTTCAATCAGAATTTTACTCTGAAGCACTATATTCCCAGATTATTCTCCTGAAGGAATACAGGTGTCCAAATGACCCATGAACACCTTCTGGAAGTCTTTTAAAATAAGTGCTTACATATAACCAGGTACGATCCCTCAATGACTAAAAATTAGCTCACATTTCAAAACCATTATACTCAATCCCAGGCTAAGGCTGAAATGGCACTGATAAACCAAGGCATCAGTAGCATCAGTTTTATTGAGCAAATCTCTATCAAACTACAACCAGTTATTGTTTTGTTTTAACTCCTTATAAAAGCCAGAGAAAACAACTTTCAAATGGACTGAAGTTCAAACACCCAACTAACAGTCCACTGGATGTCAAGCTGTTTAAATAATGAGCAGCTGAAACCAAAAAGAGAGAAGGGAATCTAAATTATGTGCTTTCAAAGGTCTGAAATCTTACTAACTCTTATGGCTGAAGAAAAATGTGAGGACCTCTACAAACGCTTTCAGCATCAGTACATCTTTACAAAGATCAGAAAGGGAAGAAGCACATGGCAAAGTGTGTTTCAGAGAACAGGGATAACATAATGTAAGGCACACAATGGCAAGTATTTTTGAACTAGTTCAAGAACCACTATCAGGCAAAGAGTAAAACATAACAATTCCTTCCTATTTCATTAGTCTGTGACCAAAATAGCAGCTTCAGCATTTTAAATCCCTAACAGTTTCTCTCAATACCCTTTCCTGAGGTTTTTGTTAGAAATACAAAGCAAAAGATTGCTTAGTTTTCCAATTAAAAAGTATAAAAGTTGGGTTTGCTAACACGGGGTTTTTTTTCCTTGTATTAGACCAGAAGTGCTCAAACCCTAGCCTACGGGCCAGATCCAGCCCCAGAGTTGTCTCATCCAGCTTGCAGGGCTCCCTAGGGTCTGAACATTTGGCGGCGGGGAAGCAGTAACACTGCTCAGGTGCTGCCAAATATCCAGACCTATGGGGAGCCTCTGGGACAGATAGCATGGTCCTATCCACTAAACTGGTCACACGGGATGGCACTGGGCCTGATCCCACCACACAGGGCCAGGTGAGGGTGTTGTAAGGCCCCTGGGCCTGATCTCAGCGCTTGGGATTGGGGCGGGAAGGTGTACCACAAGGCCCCAGAGCCCAAGTGCAGCACATGAGGGCCATTCGAGGCCATGCAAGGCCCAATCTGGGCATGCAGAGCCAGGCAGAAGCAGCACAAGACCTGATCCTAGTGCACCCAATCCAGCCTGCAGACTGGTCTCAAGCCACTCATCTGGACTGCAGAGGGAAAAAATTGAGCACCACTGCATTAGGCAATTTAAAAGACAATGCTAAATTACATTAAAATATGTACAAACATAATAAATTATTAGACAGCCTAGACAAAATCCATCCAATGTCATCATATCCAGTAAACAAGGAATAGCTGGTGTTTGTCTGAAGAGTCTGTGAATGTTTAAATTACTGCAGTAAATTGCCTGGAAACCCAATAATACAGTAAAAGTTCTGCTAACTGGCATCTTACAAGCCGGCATGCTCAATTAACCGACATGCCAGCTTGTAAGATAAAGTGAAACTGGAAGTGCCCACCATGTCACTTCCGGTTTCTCCAAGCCCCCATGGCCCAGGGCAAAGCAGCCTGCGCTGCCAAGCCCCCACGGCCCGGGGTCATAACAGGCTGTGCAGGGCTTGCCTCTCTGTCCCACAGGGCCCACAAGAGGGGTGCCGATGCCATGGGAGGGGTGGCGGAACACCCCAGACACAGCAGGAGAAGCGATAACAGAGTTTTACTGTACTTAAATTGTAGTCTTATACAGGTTTAGTAGCAGAGACACCAGTATAGTTAAGTCTCCTATCAGAAAGACTTGATTACTTTTGCAAGACACATCAGCGAACATTTATTAACATATCCTATAGTACAGTAGAGTATCCTAAATAATTTAAACTAAATTAGATCTGCCAGACAAAACAAACGAGGTACATACACCCCTTTCATTCCAACACAAAAACACCCACACACGCACAGGAGTACACTCCATTAACTGGGCTTACCATAGCATTGAGCTGGGAGTTGCTTGCCTGTGTAATACCAAGGATATTGGTGGTATGCATCACTTCCACTGAAAAACTGGGTAGCCAGCTAGCAATACGAGAACCTAAAAGAAGGAAAGAAACCAAAAGATCAGACCGGTATGAATACAGGTGGTTTCCAGCTGAGCTTTTTATAAAACTACAGTTCATACAACTGTCTACTTCAAGGGCGGGCAATTATTTCAGGCGGAGGGCTGCTTACTGAGTTTTGGCAAGCCATCAAGGGTCACAAGGGTAGCCCTGCCCCTCGACAGGTACCCTGCCCCCGGTCGCCATCTTGGGACCAGAAGTCCCACCCCTAGCTCCTGACCTTTACCACTGGAAGGTCCATCCCTTTGCCCCGCCCCTGCCCAAAATACTTCTTTCAGCAAGAGTTTGCCATCTCAAAACCAGAAAAATGCCGAGTTATATTCTATACATCAAACACTTACTACAACATTCATTAATTTGATTTCAAAAAATATTTTTGTCCTAGTTCACATATGTTTGTGTAGTGTACACACCAGTGATTGTCAGGGATCTGGGTTTTCCGTTTCCCACGGAAAAAACGGAGAAAGCCACGGATTCCCTGTTTTTAGTTGGAGAAAAAGCGGATTTCTCTTTTTAGCAGAGGAATTCATGGATTCTCCGCTCTTGCAAAGAGCTCTTGCAGGCTAGCACAGTTCCAGCCTGCAAGAGCCGATTGCAAAAAGGGTGGGAAACCCCCAGCCCTGGCCAGAGGGGGAGTAGAGGAGGGAGGGCAGGGCCTGAGCCTCTGAGGCAGCCAAGGCCAGGCTCAGGCTCAGACTCGCCCTTTGCCCCTGGTGGAGCCGTGGGGCAGGGATGGGGAAGATGGTTGGGGGCTGAGGTAGCAGGGTGGTGCTGCTGGCCCCAGGCGGCACATCGCAACTGGCAGTAGGGCCAGGGGGTGAGGGTAGGAGTGCCCCTCTGCAGGAGGGCTTTGCAGGCAAGCTGTGTGGGGCACAGTGTGGTGGTACCCACCACATGCGGGCCGCACACATGCCTCCCAGCCAGCTGCCCAGGGGAGGGGGAGAGGGAAGCTGGCATGCAGTCAGAGCACAGCTCCACGGCCGGCTCTGCAGCCAGAGCAAAGGATGGGGGCAAGGGGGAGGGAGTGGGGGGCTTGGGCTCATACGCGGTGGCTGCTGATGCTTACCTAGAGGCCTGTGACAGTGGTGACAGCCGCTGCCTACAAAACCTCCCACTGCCGCTATGGAGCCAGGCCCAGAGCTGTACGGCCAGCCACTGGGCGGCAGTGGCAGCATGGTGGTGGTGGCCACCCAGCTGCGTGCCACCCAGCTACCACGATGCTGATGCTGCAGCCCAGTGGCCAGCCACACAGCTCTAAGCACAGCTCCACAACAGCAGCGGGAGCTTTTGTAGGCAGCGGCCATCACAGGCCTCCAGGTAAGCAGCAGCGGCCACTGCGTGCAAGCCCAAGCCCTCACCCCCTCCCACCCTCGCCTCCATCCATCGCTGTGGCTGCAGAGCTGGCCATGGAGCTGGCCACCTATTGCCGCTTTTACAGCTTCCCTGCCTGCAGCTGCCTCCGCTCTTCTCCACCCCCCTGCCAGCCACTTTGGTGCCACGTGGCTCCTGGATGCAGCACTGGGACCATAGCAGCCAGCCTGGCCCTGAGGGCTCAGGCAATCACACCACAGTCCTGCCCTGCTCCCCACCCTCCGCCACCTTATCTGAATTCCCCTCTGGTGCAGCGAGGTAGGAACAGCCCTAGGGGCCCAGGCCAAAAGCCTCTGCTCAGCATGGGGCTTCTGGCTGGGGGGGGGGGGGGGG